GAAATGGCCCTATGTAAATAGTCAGACATATCCTTACAATCAGTATAACGGGTATTCACTAATGTTTTAATTATTGAAACCTTTCTTGTGATTCCCTTATCCTCATATGTTTCAGCTAATACTTTCCATGCTTCCTTTCCACTTGTTAAATCTCTTATATCATTGAAAATAATTTCACTTACCCCTTCAACTATATATGACAAAGCTTTTGGTATCCTTTACTGGATCTTCTTTTATATCTGTACCCTCTACATAAGCCCATAAATCTAATTTAATAAGAGTGCATTTTCATGGAAAATTTCCAATCCATGTAATTTTCCCTTCCACTCAATTGTTTATGTGACTAAATGAACCTTCTCCCCATGGCATTTTTCCTTTTTTAACTTTAATCAACAAGAGACAAAAAAAAAATAATTATAATTTGAGATAAATTCAAATAAATTTTCTATTGAATTAATTTTATTCTCAAAGAAACATTTGCCCAAATAATTAACAGTCAAAAATATTTGTACTAGTTAAGCTTTTGCAACCATGTGCTTTGGCTAAGCCTAACATAACCATGTGGTCAATTCTGGTTAAAGTAATTCTAAAAAATTTACAAATAGAATTAAATAAACAAACTAACTTAACTAGACACTAGATTATTTATCCTCATTTCTTAATCTGGCCTGGGCCCATAACCTATTAGAAACTCAATATAGCAGAGAGTGGTTACTTGCATGCATGAGAATAAATAATACACAACATACCTGTTGGGAGTTTGGAACACAAGTGAAGTTTTATTGGAGTGCACAGTCAAGGTTCTTTAATATACTAAGGTTAGGCCAGGAACGGAAAAAGCGTGCCATTGGTTGCTGGTAGTGACGTCACCCGGGAGACAGGACGCATCGGCCGACGCGTCTGCTACATGATTTTGGTAATGGAAAAAATGTAAACTAAAGCAAAATGATCATTTTATATGTGGTAGATACACCGGAAATACCGGGTATATACTTTCCGATTAAGTATTTTGTTAAAGAAATGTTTTTATTTATGCATAGAATTCGTACGAATGCTGAAAATAATTGTAAACATTAAATTCTTTTCGTAAAGGGAAGCCTTAGAAAATGAAAAACGATATTTAAGTTAACTAAGGGAAATAAATATTGTAAAACAAGGTATTTTTCAATATTTTTTCGTACTATTGTTTGCACTAAATAAATTTTGTTGAACAGAACACGTGATGGCATAACTGCTAAGACCATGGTAAAAACATAATCAAAAAGTATTATTCTATTTATTTTCATTGCTCATGCACTTTTTTTAATACAAATGAACTTTGACATTCCATGAGAAAGATATGATCGTGATTTTCAGTTTAATTTACATATCTCAAGCAAAAATATATATAAAAAGATTTGACTTAACAAGTTCATATTTAAATACCATGAAATTCTACAAATTTCTTAATATCCGTCATTATACTTTTAAATAGTATACTTATCACATTCTTTTTAAAGTGAAAAGTCACTTCATACTGATTCACTTCAGATTTTAGCAGAAGTGCATATTTTTTCAGTATAATCTAAAAGTACTGTTATAATCCCTTACACTCCCAAGATTTCTATATAACATTTATCCTGACGCGATTATTTGCTATAGTAAATAATCTTCGATATTGGCATCCTATTCTTCCTTCCATACATTAAAAATGGAACAATTAAAATACATTTTCTTAGACATATACGCATAATAATAATAATAATAAACTTGCCATACATCTTAGTTTCAGCCCACCAGCAGCTGAGCGGTAAAGTCGCTGAACACTGGTAGTTCGGTCTGAATCCCGCGAACGGGCTGGCTGCATGGGCGTTTTCGTGGTTTTCCTCATGTGTAATGTGTATACGAGCCAGTTTACCTGAGAAAGTCCTCCAAGAAGGCATCACACCTATTACGCAGATAGCCCTAGTGTGCTTTGCCATAATTAAATACACCACCACATCTTAGTTTCAATTCAGCCTGTACACAAATAAAATATTTTTAATTACTAATGTATTTTTATCAGGTTGTTTCTTAAAATACTTTTGTTATACTCAAAATATGTGTTCAGTATTAAATTATTTTTCTTTCTCTTATAATTAAAAACAAGTTATATGGAATCAAAATTAAAACATATGCAGCAGTTAAATAACACTGAAGAGATTACTCTTACTTACTCTTTCGCTGCTTTGTATTCTAGCCACAATACACAGATTTGTTTTCCTTCAGAGGTTAAGCTATGGTGTAAGTTCACTTAGTTATATCAATTAAATTACATCAGACATATGCATCAGTTAAACAACATTGAAGGAAATATGTTGCTCGCTCAGTCGATGTTTGCATCATAGTGTGGTCGAGAAATTGTTCTTTCCTCATGGTGAAGCATGTATCAGTTTACTTAGTTCTCAAATGCTTAACCCAGACATTGCTTCAATACATAGAATTACGTTTGGAATGTAAAGAAAGTAACCAAAACATGTGAATTAACTTGGATAAGCGAATTTATCAACTAATCATTCAGGTAGTCACTATTGGTAAACACGAAACTGAGATTAAATATCTCGCTATAAGTCTACTTCATAAAAGGAAAATTATGATAAAATGAATAGCACATATTCTGGCATTTTCGATGTTGAAATTATCTGCTCTTTTGCAGCGAATAGTCCATAACTTACGAAGTTCTGGATCACTTGGAAAACGATGGTATGTGATGCCTTGACTTTTAGTTTTCCTTCTATAATTCTGACACAACGCTATAGCACAACTTGCCATTTCCGACTAGGTATAAAAGCAAATTAACAACACAAATCAAATGTATCCCAGATCAAATGCAACGAATGTAAACAAACGCCGAGAACTAACGACTGTCACCCACATGACGTCATGCGCAGGTGGCATAATTTTCTCCCTGCACTACGCATCGCTCTTGGGCCCCCCCTGGTGCACAGTTATAGAAGAATATAAAAACAGTGGCGCCATCTATGGGCCAAGAACATATTTAAAGCTAACCTTTTTTACAATTTTATTTAGTGTCAAAGTGAAAGTAAGAATCTGGACTCTCCAGATGTTTTATTATGTGTTGAAGGGGGGGGAATTAAATGCACATGTGTATAGCCTATGAGAAAAACGGTGGTTTTGAGGTCCGTATAATGGACTTTGTCTGGATTTCGGACTTTGTACTGTATTAATAAAATCCATCCCATATTCAATTCTGAACTGTATGCAGAAAAAGGAAGGGGGGAAGCATAGTGCCAAACTGCGTGAAAGGCTCAAAAAATGCCAAAACCGAAAAGGAAAAAAGAAACTTAACTCTTTTGCTGCATCATCATCTGTGGATCGGTTCAGTGAAAAGAGTAAAAAATTCTTCAAAATTTTTAAGCATTTTTATGCTTGTGTATGATTTTGACTCTATAATTTTGAAATTTTTGGCACTACTTATTATGGCTTGTAGGTGTTGGACTAATAAAAAACACAGATTACTGTAATAATTTTCTGAGATTATTTTAAGTATTAAACTTTTAATTTGTGTTTTTGTTGGTTCAGAAACAGACTGATGTGTTTACTTCTTTCATTGCATTAATCCACTAATGAAAATGCAGCAAAAGATATGACTTTCTTTTTTCCTTTTTCATTTTTTGTACCTTTCATGCTGTTTACCACTGTGCTTCTGGTTTTTTGCATGTAGTTTGTTCAGAATTGGATATAGGATTTTAAATGTATTATTTAATTTAATTTATTTTGCATTATTACTACCACTTGTTGCTACGCCTATCACCGGTTCCTTATAACGCACAAAGGAGCGGTTAATTCAATCTCCAGCATCATGAATACCATCGTGGCATTGGGCACAGACCTTTGCCTACCGTGCTAAAATGACGCTATGGTGTACTGACGATAAGCTCTAAGACTAGTCCAGTGAACTTTACAAAATCTGGGCTTCACCACAACTGTGTGTTTAAGCTCCCCTGCCCACAATCTAAAGTGGCAATACTAACAATTCGCAAATATGTGGCATCTCCTTAGAGAGATGTGTTATGCCTCCATAATGATACGTGTGTAATCCCTTCAACAGCATGTGAACAACATCTTCTTACGCAGTGTTAGTGAATGCTTGTGTGCCTTACGGTGCACACATTGCTGGGGCACTGCCCAATAATTAGTGCTACAACATCCTCATGCCTTTTATCAGTGTTTTTATCTATGTTCTTAGCAATGCTACAATAATCAACGCCTTAGCAATCTAACCACACTCTTCTTCTGCACACATGAGTATTCATGAACTCATCATACATCATTCAAGATGTACTTGTATTTATATCCAACAGAACTGCCTTACACTAACATTGTGCTCCAGCTTTCATGTGACTTCATGTACTCCATTTATCTTTTTGTGCCTTAAGTGACTATGTGTATGTACCTGTTTTTTGTGCTCTCTGTTTATGCATTTTACGCTTTGTGCTTTGTGTATTGTTGCCTATGCATTTTTTTTGTAATGCGTACGTCTTATTATCCAAGTATTTTTAGTTTAACTACCTACTATCTGTAACACCACAGCTTTCCTCTTCAAACTGTAATACAATCCTACTAATGCCCTTGTAGGGCCATGTACTCCCTTTGACAACCTCAATAATCTCCTGGTGCGGCCTCGTGTGGTTCCGGGAAGCTTTTGCCGTAGTTAGAGGAGGGTTTGGAACACATGCCTGTTTACCTCTGTTAGACACCAGGCGTTCCAGTCCTCCGTAACCTACCTACCTACCACTTGTTGCTGCTTTCAGCATGCAATTTGATTAAATTTTGAATTGCATTTTAATTTGTATTTATTTATAGATATAATATATTTTGCATATTTTTTCGCATACTGAGTTTCTTTTCAATAAATTTAGGTCTAATTCTTACTGATTTTGGTATTTTTTTTAATTATTGTATTGTATAATGTTGTACAATTGTGAATGATGTTTTTGTCTTCATAATATATTCAATAGTGAATCTGCAATAGTACATGGATGTCAACCATCTTGTGCTTCTAATCCATGTCAGAATGGAGCAACTTGCCTTGAGTTTTGGGGGTCCTATAAATGTAAATGTGTAAATCCTTTTGCTCACTCGGGAAAAAATTGTGAAAAAAGTATGTATAATTTGATAATCATATACATTTTAAAATACATTCATTTTTATGGATTTTTGTAGTGATTGATATTTGTTAATATTTTTAACAAATGCTTTATTGTTCACAGATGTTAATATAAATGGCATGACTGTGGTTGTTCCTAAATCATACTATCATCATAAAACTGAAGGAAGTGATCCAAATCCAGTTTTAGAAAAGAATATTCTAATGAGCTTTCGTACCTTTGAAAAAGAAGGAATATTACTTTATGCATTCGATCACTTCAACAACTTTGTGCAACTCCATTTTGCCAATAAAAATGTGTACTTTACATTTAATTCAGATCGCACTGTGCATCAGCTTCATGTAGAAGTAAAAGGTTATTATTATTATTGTTATTATTATTATTATTTGAAGAAATTTGATGTCCAATTTGTGCTTGAATTTGCATGTCAAAGTAATAAACCTTTTTATTAGTTAAACTTTATTAGTTATCTTTATTACTTTTATTAGTTATCCTTTATAATCTGTTATCAAGGATGGAATTTTGAATTCATAAATTGTTGTTAATTTTCTACTGTTTAAATCTCTATTTCTTCTTTTAATTAATTCTTGGTAAATTTCAGGTTGTTGTGTTTTAGTTAATGTATTTAAATTCATTGTGAAATGCTTTCTCACATTTGGATTGTTAATGCTGTTGTACTAATTTTTCTGAGTTAGCTTTATTTTCAATTAATGTTTTCTTGCTCTGCTGTAATTGTTGATGCTTTTCAGTTAATTTTCTATTCTGACTGTTGAACTTGTTTATCAGATTCTCATTACTAATAAATACTAATTCTCATTACTACTAATAAAAGCTGTGATCTTTCACTGTTATTTTTTTTAATGTTATTTAGAAATCTTGTAATGCAGTGTTGTCCAACCTGCTGGATGCATGTGGCCCTCTTATTCATTTTGTTCGCACTTGCCCTTTTTTACAGGAAAAAAAAAATATTAGTTGAATGTTTGGAAAAACAAAAGACCCTTCTTATTGCTTTAAATAATAAATAACAAATATAAATAATAAATATAATAATTAAATATAATAATTAAATAATAAAAATTATAAGGCTCAAATAATGAAACTTGTAAATAGTGCAAATTTAATAAGGGGAGGCAAAGCCCAGAGACACAGAGCATTTATTGCATTTGTGGACAATTTGAATGCTGCGAATTGGGACATTTCATTGTACTGTCAAGTGGGCAGGCTAAATGCTGGAAATTGTCTGCAACATTTTTTTTTTTTTTTTTTTTTTTTTTTTTTTTTGCTGAGGAATAAAATTCTTGCTTTCCTCAAAAAAGAAAATATTGGGCATGAGTATTAAGAAAAATTAGAAGAAATCCAGTTTTTGAATAATCTTGCTTTTCTGACAGATTTAACAACTCATCTAAATGCTTTAAACTTGAAACTACAAGGCAGAAAACAAAACATAGCCCAGCTTTATAGACATGTTGAAGGCTTTTGTAAAAAAATTTAATGTAATGCAAATTGTTGTGAAGGCAAATAATACAGCACATTTCCCATTTTGTCAGCAGCTGAAAGAAGAAAATGACACAAATTTTACTATGTTTCATGAAATAATTACTGATATCAAAAAAGAGTTCCAGAACATATTCCCTAAAAACAAAACCACGATTTTGATTCCCTAAAAACAAAATTTTCATTGTTAAACAACCCCATAGAGATTGAAGTAAGTGAGGTAGGTGCCTTGTGACCTTCAAGTGGAAATTTGTAGTCTTCAGGCAGATACATTCTACCAGACTAAAAAAAGTGATGTCACTGAGCATTTCTGGAAACTGATTTCTAAAAAATGTTTGACCAAACTGCATAAATTCTCTTTGCAAATGTTGTCGCTGTTTGCTGGTACATAGTTGTGTCAAAGTGCTTTTTCTGCTTTCAAACAAATTAAATCAAAAATGAGAAATCGCACTGAAAGTGCTTCACTGGAATCGAGTCTGAGACTTTGCCTTCCTGAAATTACAGTGGACATTGATACACTTGTATCAAAAAAGCAGAGCTAATCATCACATTGATTTCTAGACTGTAAAATAAAGTGATATATTAAACTGGTGATTTATATGTAATTCTTTTTCTTTCTTTAATGTCTCTGGCCCTCACTCTCCTATACTAATGTTTGATTGGCCCTCTAACTAAAAGTTGGACCACACTGTCGTAATGCATTAATTTTTAAGTTTCTCCCTGTTCAGGGAATCTTAAAAACTGTGTTGATATTTTATTTTCTATTATAATAACATAAGCATAGATGCTTTTAATATGAAAGTGTCGACTCATGTAATTTTGAAGAAAATAATTGTTCATTAATTTCAGTTTCGTTAAATAATGCAGATGACTTTCTTTATAAATGCTGTGGGTTTTGGCCTGTGTAAACATAATATCTCAGATAATGAATTTTATGACATTTCTTTTTTATGAATTTTGCTGAAATAATCATTTGCAAGCAACAAACAAATTTTTACAAAACAATGACAAGTAATAAATACAGAAAGTTTCAATTCCTTCTGACATATGTTACTGACTTTTTCAAATTTATTTTTTTACATCCTTCTAGGGCAGGATTTGTTGAAAATTTTGCTTTTGCTTTAAACAATGATTATGCTTCATTTAAATCAGTTTTATATGTCATCAGTTCACACATTTATATAGTTTACAGTGAGCTTTTGGCTTATCTGTTGTTACTCCTTCTATCCAGTTCACAAACATGGATGTTTTAAGCTAAGCATTTTAAAAAGTGTTGCTGAATTTTTTCCACTCATAAATCACACTTTAATTAACATATCAGCTGTAATTGCAAACCTACTCATAGTTTTCCAAAATATTAAAAGGCAATCAGTCAAATACTTAAAACCACTGGCCTACTTCTGAACACTAAGTGCCCATAAGCTACAATAGCAGGCTTACCAGCTGTCAACTGCTGAGTATAAATAATTTTTAAAAGAGTTTTAAAGCTTTAACTTTTTTCTATAGGTCTCTCTACTGGCACTCCAATACAAATAAAAGTTGAACGCCAGCTGCATCGAACAGCTCTTTATGTAAATGACCAGACTGCTGTTGCAGATGTAGTCATGAAATTTGTTGATAGATATTTTAGGATGCCATGGAGTCAAGGAGAAAGCTTAGGTTTGTTATATAACATATTTACATATTTATATAAAATCCTTTATTATTTGTCTCTCTCTTTTTGTCTTATTCACTATGTTAACAAATATTTCTGTTCGTTTTTATCATTATACATTGCACACAAAGTTTCAGTAGGCTTGGGATAATTTAAATAAGAGGCGACTTGATAAAATAAAAAAATCTCAAATTAAAAATTATTAAAAGTTTTGCACATTTATGTTATTTAAAGTATAAATTTCTAATAACTCTGTTTGAATTAGTCATATTGCTAATTTAAAAAAAGGGTATTAATTTGGGAATTCTATTTTGGGAGGTGTATAATATATTATAATGTCTTATTTATTTATTTTTTTTATTTTTATTTATTTATTTATTTATTTTATTTTTGTTGTGTGTGTGTGGTGTGTTTGTAAATTCTTTTCTGTCTTTTCTCTTTTTTATTGGCTTTCACTTGAATGCATATTGTAGATAATATTTAGAGAGTCTGCTTGAGATTTCTTTTCGTTATTAAAATGAACTGGCCTTTAATGCTATAGGCCATGCTGCTTAATTTAATGAATGAATTTATTAATTTGTTATTGTTGCATAGTATTTATATTCATATGCTGTGTTATTTCTTAGTAATTATATTTTTGCAATTAAGTATCATGATTTTGTTCAGCCCTCACACGTTGTTGTTGATAACGTTTGCTAATTTTGAATTAAGGTAAAGACAAGCTGCAGCAATAAATGTTTTCATTAAATTGTGTTTGTATATTAAACTTGAAGATCCAGTACAGACAGACTGTGATAGTTGTAATTTTTCTGAAAAGATAAGGTTTTAGATAAGTTAAAAGATGAGCCAGGTCAAAATTTTTCTGAATGATAAGGATTACTTTAATTACTTCCAGTTTATAAATTCTTTTTATTAGCTTTCATAATATTGGTAATAAATGGATGCCCAGTGGATCAAATTGTGCAGTCAGTTAACCTGGCTGTTGTTCAAAAACATAAAAAATGACATTTGGGGGAAATTGATTTTCAAAAGATCAGTCCCCATATCAATTTTAGACTTAATCGATTTCATGTGTTGTTATAGTTTATAATTATTTATTTATTTTGATGAAGTACAATCTCATTTACAGAGAAACAGATAAATACATTCCTTATCTAGCAAAAAGAATTAATTGTGAATAATCTATAATTATCAAAGATTATATCTATTTCACAAACTTGCTTTTTAAAGCACTAGAGCCATGAAGATTACAAATAAACTGAAGCTTAAGGAGATAAAATTATTAAACACTAATAGTTAACCTAGGTTTTAAATCTCTGTTAATACGAACTGGTCATGAGTATTAAAATTTTTTCATCTGATATCTGGTATATCTTTTTGTGCAGGTTAATATTCCCAAGAAATGCAGAGGGTGTTTACCCATTTTTAGAACAGTTTTGATAAAGAATTTTTTTAGAGAAAGAAAGAAACATCTTGTGTGTGTGTGGGGGGGGGACTTCTGGCAATAGTTTATTATTTGAAATGAGAAATATCATCTGCTATTTTTAAATTTATTATTCTTTCAAAATGTCGCATGTAAACTAGCTGTGGATTAAAGACTATGTTTTTGCACTTACCAGAAAAAAAAAATCCTATTCCATGTTTCAAAAATGTTATGAACTGCATTGTATTAAAATTATGTAAGTACAAAATAAACGTCATTATTGATTGGAAAGGGGAAAACCATCAATCATTACTTCTATATGAAAATGACTCCAGACAGATACCTGGAAAAAGTGCATAGTGTTTCTGAAGTTAAATCGTTGGTAGCAAGAGAAAATTCCCCCAATGCAGAAATTATTTGCAGAGTTTTTAAATAGATCTGAAGCATAAATAAAATAACAACCAAGGTTTTCAACTTTAAAAAGTTAAAAAACACAATTTTCACAGCTTTTGTTGAGGCATAAAGCTTAACGCAGAACAATTTGTAGAGCACTGTATATTGTGATCTTTGGCGAAGCATGGATTTATCTAAATGACTCCAACAAAAAAAGGTAAGTTTATAAACGAAAACAAAGAAATGTTCAAACCTGGTTCTGTCATTGCAAAGAAAGTTTCTGTAAGGGGTTTATAACTGTTGCAGGATTCTCTCAGTAGAAAATTAAAAATAAGAAGAGTGAAAAAAAATTTTAAATCAACTCATTATATTATAAAGAGAAATTTTTACATCCAGTATTTACAGAAGAAATTTATTTCTTTATCCCAACAACTTGCAAAATGTGAAACTTCATCAAGACAAAGTAGTTACTTCAAAACGTACCACTGCATTCTTTGAAATCATGAAGACCAATACATACATTCCATATATATGTATATCTTTCTGCAAAGCCCATGACGTTTGTCACCTATCTTCTGTTGTGGCTTTGGTTTCTTGAAAAGAGCACTTTCTAAGTGCAAACCCACAATGACTGATGGACTCTGAAAAACAGTACTTATGAAAATTTTATGAAAAGCTCTTCTATCTTGAGATCATTATGCAGACATATATATAGTTCAGAAAAAAGATTATCAGAATGAACATTTAAGAAAGTAACTTTTTGCATGTTAAACATTTATAAATGTCCCCATTCTAAAAATGTGTAAACATCCTTTGTATATGAGGTTAGCCTAAGAAAAACAGATTAGATGTTTATAGATTGAAATTGTTGTTTTTAGCACAAAATATTTAAGGTCATTTCATAGAGGAAGTATTCATGACCTCCTTCTTTTATTTGTTTTCGAGACTTCAGCATCACATGAGTGCTTTTGAGGTCAGGAGCAATATGGCTGCTAATCCGATAGAAAAGCTTTTTTGTGTGTTTCAATATGCAAAAACAGATTTTGATATTATTATACAGCACCATTTTAAAACATACTATGATTGAGAATCGGTCTCAAGGTCGTATTGATCATATCCTGGCTGTTTCATGTTGGCTACCAAAAGTCTGAATTTAACACCATATTAATACTTCTTGCAGCATGCATTAAGTTTTTGTTCCTCTCTTCTTCACAAGTTTGGTTGATCTTTAACAGCATATCTCAGCAGTTGCTGTGATTGTTGACATAAAACCTTTGAAAGGTTGCTGTTGGAAAGAAGTTAACTATTGCATTGATAGCTGTTGGTGGTGCAAAAGAGTTTTGCATAGAGCAATCGTTACTTAGTCATGCAAACTTCAGGACATTTCTCTTCATTGTGTAAATATTTCAGCCATGCTGTTACTACCTTTATTTCTATCTAATAGACAAACCCTGTGAATAAATATAGCTAATATTGCTTAGGAAGTGTACAGAATTCTTTACTATAAAAACTTCATAAGTTCACCTTAAGTGAAGTAAATTCAAAATATACTTCCTGGAAACAGATAGAGGCTTAAGTCTTGAGTTTTTATAAATTACTAAGTTGCCAACTCTCTTGATTTAGGCGGGAGAATCCTGATTTCTGATCGTATTCCAATTTATAACATTCTTCCGACTTTCTCTTATTCTTAAAATTTCTCACGGTTTTTATGTAGCTTAATTTACTACTTCATTATTTACATCGAAAAAAAAATTTGGGGTATCTGAAAGCGCTTGGCTTTTCTGTTGATTACATATAAAAGAAAACCAAAATCATTTCATCAGTGAGATATTATGGTGTACTTCTGCTTTGTTTATGAGAGCACATGTGCCCAAAAATGTCATGTTCCACTTCTCCAATAAGCATCAAACGCAACTGCATGCCATCTGGCACAGGTCAGTTGATTAGCACAAAGCAAGATCAAGGTTGTTATTATGCTCATCTTGCCGCTGAACATTGTGAGTGTTATGCGCTTTTGACAAAGATATTAAAAAATTGTGATCTTTTGCCTTAGTAAGGCTGCAAAAAAGGTAAAATACTCATGTACTTTTCAAAAGCAATGCACTGGTGACTTTTCTTCTATTATTTTGTCAAGGAAATGTAATATATTTGCGATGTGTCCCATATGTCATTGCAGTTTTTTAATCTTGCTCAGTGGAAAGTCTGATATTCTAAGTCTGATATGTGGATACATGAAAACATGAAGATAACATGACTTGTATTGAGAGAAAAAAATTTTTTTTTTTTTCTGTGGGAACAAAGGACCAAACAATTATCAATGCAAAATGCCTGTATTCCACTTTTTTGTTGAAGCATAATGTGCCACTGAATGCATCATCTTTATTTACAGAGAAATGTTTACCTATAATAAAATCGCTTAAAAATGCTCAAGTGCAAATACAAAAATGGCTGAAATTGTTAAAAAAATTGGTATGAAAATTAAAACTTCAGTTATTGATTGCATTAAAACAGCTTCAATTTGCCTTTCTATGGACGGAAGCTATAATAAATACCAAGGCAAAACTGTATCCAATTGTTGTTCCTTTTGTCAATCTAGAGTCTTCAGAAATTGAGTGTAGTTTACTATCTGTCTCTACTTTATAAGGAGATTCAACAGGCCCATTTAATACAGTACAGCTAATTATTAAAATTTTAAAAGAAATGCAATTCCTCTGGGTAACTGCTTAACACTTGGTGTCGACAATGCACCAATAATGGTAGGCTTGAAAACTAGTGTTGCAGGCATCTTAAGAAAATTCAAGTTTGCTAATTATGAATTGCACTTGTCACCTTTTAAATATATCAGATCTTCTTTGCCAATGCACATTGCTGATATTTATTATTGTCTTGCAGAGACTTCCGAAAGGAAGGAAAACTTGAAGCAATTCGCATAGTATTGAACTAAGAAAAATTTTGAAATATATATGTACGTATGTTATAAAATTAACAAACAGAGTGATGGCTAATTAAATTTTGGACTTTATTAACAAAAAAGTAAAGAGAACTTACGTACGCCTTATTGTTTACATGACAACTTTTAGAATGACGAAAATAATAGTGATGCCAGATGCATAAAACATATTAAAACAATAAAACAATGATGCCACTGAAACTGCACATAATATCAATTAAATGCTCGATTCTCAACAG